TATACGAAATTCTGATCAACCAACATATAAGACTAGAATTAGATTACCTATCAAAGATCTACAAGCAAAAATTGGAAACCTTGTGCTAAATTGAGTCATCCTACGAACTTGATCAAGGCTTGATTGGATGGCTCAGATGCAATTCTCCACAAAAATGACTTGAAACTTAGAAAAGGCAAAATTGATGCTCGAATTTTCAAGAGAAACGTCTCAATTTGAGATCTCAATTTCATTCATCAACCAATTTGATTTTTACATAACAATTTGTGGATATTTATAGTTTCCCGACAAAGGTGGCTGAAATTTAATCCTATCCCCTCTAATCTCCATAGAAGACAAGGTGGCTAAGAGAAACTTCAAATCTATTGGGTTTCAGACTCTGTTCTTGACATTTTTTAATCTTCATTCTTGACATTTTTGGATCTTCTTATCATCGTGATTCTTATCATCTTTCTCCTCTTTAGAAGGATTCATCCTCCTTGAATCTCAGAAAAATCATCACCTACATTAAAAGAATTCTCAAGTCAACAACATTGAAAGTAGAATGTACTGAAAATTTTTCGGGAATATTAATTTTATATGCATTGTTATTAATTCTTGAACCAATTTTGAAATTTTGTTTTTCAATTCTCTCCTTCACCTCCTCCTGCAATATTTAGATCAAATCTGCCTTATATCAGAAGGAATAAGAAGAAATCAAGAGAATTATCCTTAACATTCCATATGCGTTTCAAATTGTCTTTTGAGTAAAAGTTCTTCCGGCATCGACTTTGATATGAAATTTTAAAGGCTTAGTTGCAAAATAATAAGTTTTGTATTCACGTTTTTTTGGATAGACGATAATATAGGACTGCTGCTTGAAAATGTTATCTAAGGTGAATATTTGAAAATGTTTTTAAGCCATCAAACATTTGAAATTTCAAAAATAAACTTAAAAGAGATCTCATTTCATTGTATCATTTCCGTCATCATGAGATCTCATTGGATACTCAACACTTTGAAATATAAATAGAATCAATTTCATTACAAATCATATGCTATGCGATGAAAGCGCTGAAGAGATATAAAGGCTACGATCTCTTAGAACTATTTTATTCTTACTACATCATAGAAAAGGGGGAGAAAAAGCAAAAAGACTTAGAAACAATGGCACGAACCCTTTGTTTTCCAACTCTATGGTGAACGGATTGCGCATGGAATCCATTCCATGGGCCCTCTCAAACCTTTCAATAGTCACTTCTCCACCATATGGAAGAAACCCATGGTTGATGATGCCCCTGAACCAACAATTCTATTTTGATCGAATTACAGTCTCACATATTCAACCTCTTGTCCTGTAAAGTGGAGGAGCGAAACCGAGTTTTCGGTGTTTGAAAGGAGAGGTTTAGGAGCGAATTGAAACATGACATAAAGAATGGAACACTGTTTAGTATATATATCCGTAGTCTAAAAAAAAAAAAGAGATAGTTCAACTCAAGTTCAAAAATAAAAGAGAAATGAAAGTGAAAACTCACTTTTCTTCGGTTACGTAACAAAATGATGATAATTTCTCTCCTTTATAGTCGGGTTGCTTTGCACCTTTCTCTCTTCTCGTAACCCTTCGAAGTAAAAAAAAAAAAGAGTTTATAGTGTTTGAAGGATTTCTTATTCTTCTGTTTCCTGTAAAAGTTGTTTTTGTTTTTGGTTGAGTCGTGACTTGAAACACCCCATCGATGCTACTTTAAATGTTTAATACATATAAGAATATCGAAGAAATCATAATAAGAAGGGAACAAGTAAAATTATTCCAAGTAAAACACGTTTTATTATAGAGTTCTTAGAGACACGAGGTGCACATTGATAGTATAGGTAATGAGTTTAAATTCTTTTAGCCTTTTTTGATATCCTATCTTCAAAACCGCTCTGCATGTGAATTCGTATGTGATTTCTGTTCATTCATGTACTCCTACCACGGATAACCCAAGTTTTCAATTTAGAAATGTAATTTTCTGTCTTTTTTTAAAAGAGTTTCAAACTTGTTAACCCAAAATTTTTATAGAGGTAAAAAGGAAGTGAAATAAATATTTTGAATAGAAAAAAAATGATTACATATTTTAATATAGAGAAACAACAATCTTAGAAAATTGAGAATTTTATGGGTAACATGTATGTATTTTATGTATACATATATTTCAAAAAAAAAATTAATCTTTTATAGAAAAAAGTTGGAGGTAAGTATAACATTGGATAAAAGATAAGATAATTTTGGACCCAAAAAAATCAATCTTCACATTTTGTTAGAAGGTAAACATTGTTATCTCTTTTGCCTCTACAATTTTGTAATTTTTTTTATGAGATGTATACTTTGGATGGTAGGTGTTTGTTGAGTTCCATAGATAAAATTGATGCTAATCAGGTTGACTATGACTCATCGAATGTTTGTATTTATAACTATCCTAATTTTTTATTAAAATCATGGTCACCGGTAATATTTGAGTCTAGCAGGTACGTAATTTCCTTTTAATCTCCCTTTAATTTCTGAACTCTTAGAATTTTATTAGGTATTTTAGACGATGAATCTCAAATCGATTCAGAAGGAAAAAATACTCGGGAGTCTCTAGTTTCAGAATTTTCTCCGAGAATGGGAGATGGTTTTAGGATCTACTATTTGTATATGATGGTCTAGCAAAGGATTCGCACAAATCTCGTGTTGACACTCGTCCAAGAATCACATCGCAACCTATGTATTTGAAGTTGTCATTTTTGGTAAAAATACACACTTTTCCACAAGTTTAAACATGAATATTAAGCCCTATGATTACCGAAAATATAAGAAAATTATAGTAGAGAAATAGGTTGTGAAGACTATTAAGCCCTATTTTCGGGTTGTCTGATTCCCGTTCATCAATTTTTCATCTGATTTCAATGTCATCCTTATTTAATGTGAACTTGGCCCCTCAATCGAAAATTTGGAATTTTTGGACACCTTGACTTGAAATCGTACTCAGAAAGGCACTCGCTTCTAAGAACCACACTAACTTCTAGGAAGTAATACTTGTAGGAATCGCTTGGATTTGCATGTATGCTAGTAAAACCAATCCTAGGGCTAGCTCGATATAACTTGTACTTAGGAATATTGGTTAATCGCATGATTATTGCTCGTACTTGGATGTGGATAAATTGAACCTTGTATGTTGAATTGTTCGCTTTTATATTGCTGGTATATTGTCATGCTAGATTGGAGAAGATAATTTTGTGTATCCGCACTCCGGGTGCTTGATGTATGTTATCGTAGTAGACACTTATTTGATTGGCCTAGGCTTGTATGTTGAAATGTTATGTGAACGTTATGATATATGATATATTATGTGCATGATATTATTTGATATGTTACAAGATATGATAAGTTTATGATATGACATATATTGAACATGAATGATATAGGTTATGATTGACATACAATTTGAAGAATTGGCATAATGCATAACCCCGATATATGCATGGAAGTTATGATAAAATGATATGATATAAAAGAAAATGCTAGAGGGATTGTTATACATGATAATGAAAGAAAAAATGTTGGGACCTCATGCATCATTGTGCGTTCATGCATTTAAGGATACCCTTTCTCCTTTTACGATGGTGCGGACACGTATGTTACGAAGCAAGAACACGATCATTATAGTTATCATAATGCTGCTATGATGGCCGCTATTCCTAATGAGTGTCCGACATCAACAGCTACTAACGAATGCTCGCCCGACTAGAAAGGGGTCAAGGAGGTGTGCGAATCGACTGGTGGGTTCATACTCGCAGACGTGGGTCGTGTGTAGAATAGTAAATACAATCCAGTTACTTGCTTAGGATAGCCGCCGTAGGAATATAGATTGATATGATAGATCCCACTCATAGTTGTATGTGTTTGCATGTAACCCCGATAGGAGGGTCACTTGCTAAATATTTCTTAAAATACTTAAGTCATGTGCTACTCTTAATTTTTTAGGTAAAGGCAAGGTTCTTGTGTACGATGGAAGGTGGCATCACAACTTAGGAGACCGTGACACGTATAGAGTAGTTTGCAATTTAAATTTAATAGACTATACGTTAGTATTAGTTAAGTTTGCATTTCCATTTAGTAGCATATAGGTTTGCATAGGACCTTTCTACTTTACCTTATTTTTGCCAATTTCAATCGTGTTAACCCCATAAATTTTTATCTCATGTAGCTAGTTTTGTTCAATTTTATGTGATTATTTGTACTTTTTCCTAATGTCAACTTAGAAAATGTTAACAAAATTTAAAATAAACAACAAACAACATTCAAATTTAATTTAAACTTATAGGCTATTTGAGATTTAGTTTCTATGGCTATGTTTCGTGACATAAAAGTTGAGAACCATTCATAAATCGAAATAAAACACATATACAATTCTCATATTCAAGTTACCCGTTAGGATCCCATATAGATTGTGGGCAGAGTATATGATACACATTCAAGTTACCTGTTAGGATAGTACAGTAGGAAAATTGATAAGTCTCATCATTGCATTCGCATGTTCTTGCATTTAACCTCTAATAATGAGTCACTTACTTAGTATTTCTTTAAATACTCAAGCCACATGCTACCTCTATTTTAGGTTAAAACAAGACATTTCTCTGTAGTGCTAACGATGACATCACAACTCGAGACCATGACACATGCATAATGTAATCGTATTTATTTTCTTAGACTTAGGCTAGAATAGGAAGTTTTTAATTTAAACATTTATTTATTTTATTTAGTCTTTTGTTATGTCGTTTTTAAAGGTATTTTCAAAACACGTACGTCTATGGCTGCGTTTTAAGATGAAAGTGACGTTTTATGAAAGTTTAAATGAAGTATTTCCACATTCAATGTTCATGATATGTATACAGTGACGACCTTAAATTAAGTAGAAAATTTAATGACATAAAACATAAATTTCGTTAATGGGGTGAATTAGAACGTAGTAGACTAAGTTTAAGATATTAAGAGAATTCAATAATGAAAGTGGTAGTTGGATAGTACCTTATTAGTAATTTCATATATTTTACATTAATACATGCATATATTTTTAACCAACTATAGGAACCAAAACAACTATATCGTCATGATTGACATCAACCCAAACTCGTGAAGGATTGAAATTTAAAATTCTTGGACTCCCAACTTGAATCTTTTGTGCTTTGACGTTAGGATTCTCCCTTTCTATTACTTCAGCAGCAACACAAAATTTTAAGCCCACAACTTCTGGCCATTTACTTTTTCCTATTTCAAACAAATATTCATGTTAAATTTGTTAATACATCTCAATGCAAGCATATTCACATTATATAATTTTTTTTAAAATAAAAATTCATATTTTCACTTGATTTTAATTATAATTGATTAAAAAAATCTAAATAATATTATTATTCTCCAAAAAAAAAAAAAAAAACATTTATTTTATTGGAAAATTATCTATCTATTTAATTCGGTTAATTTTCATTAGCTTTGAGGTTGTTGGAAAGAAAATAGATAACTCAAACATTAAAAAAGAGTTATACGACAACCTCAAAGTTTACAAATCGCTCCACTAAACTACGTGGAAACAACTTCAAAAAAATAATTACAAGAACACGTGATACGAAGAACATACCAAGAGGACACACTTGAGCCATCCGAAATGCTTAGCTTACTCTTTTGTTGAATTTGTTTGTTCAAATGAATGCCTACTAACCCTTTAGCGGCATACTCCTTTTATAGTACTTTTCTTAAAGGATAAAGTCCTCTTTATATTATTTACATTAAATATAGGAATAAGAATAGGAATGTTTACTTTAGGAAAGTGTCTTTTTTATCTTTTATTATATTTAAGTGTATACCCATATAAAAGTTATGCATTAACAATTTTAAAATGAAATTCTAAGAAAGAGTTTGAATGGATTAAATTGTAAAAAAAAATTAGAGGGGTAATTGATACAACTCTAAGAAAGAGTCTACATCCCATATCGTGTCTTTGGCCAACTCATCATATTGCGAAAGTTGTCCTGCACGCACTCTCGATCTACCCAGTGACTCGATTCACAACTCGCATGTTTTCTTCGTAACCCATGTGCGGTGTGCGTGCTTTAGCCGCTCAGTCGCGACTCATCTCAGCTCGCTTGTCTGTTCAATCCCCTGTGTGCGGCTCACACTCGGCTTAAGCAGCTCATTCATGCTCGGAATAGGGTTTTTGGTATTGATCTTCATGTTTTTGATATTTTGGAGTTGAGTGACTTCTATCGGTTTGGTTGGATGAAGTGTATTATGTATGATGACGCCTGCCCCATACCATGCACCTATCATATGTATGATATTTTTGTTATGCTATAATATGCCATGTTGTATTATGTTAAGCTATGTTATAGTACGTTAAGCTATGTTATGTCATGTTATGCTATGTTAGGCCACAATATACTATGTTAAGCCATAATACGCTATAATGTTATCATGTAGTGTTGTATAAAATTGTTATGTAATCTATACTCTATGCTACAAAAATCTCCACAAAACATGTCATAAAAGTTAAGCTATCTATGAAACAATGTATAGAAATCAAGTATGCATAATTCACAAACTTACTATGTTATAGATGAATGAATGTCTGTATAACCACCGAAAAAAAATCATGATGATGATAAAAAAAAAATAATAATAATAATTAAAACAGTTACCTATCTCCTGTGAGATATCAACCATCTTCAGCCGGTATATGTCAACTCCCCTTTACTTTTAACCATTAGCAATCTACCTTTTAGAAAGATAAATGAGGATCAATATTGGCATAAAGTAATAAATAGCAAACAGAGAAAAGGAAAATTAGGAACAGAGATAAGAGAGAAAAAAAAACCAAGACATCCAAAAGCAAGATTTGAAAAGTATTAAATAGTTTTAAATGATTTTTATACCAATAATGTTATAACAAATATTTATAAACATTTTAAGACTTTACTCTGCAATATTCACATGAAATCTAACCTATGTTATGGATTCACATAGATTGACTTGTATAGAAATGACAAAATCAAATTTTCATTAATGACAAATTGGTGACACCAGCCTAAGCTAATCAAATAAGTGGTCTTACTATCGATATCGACATGATTATATTTGATGTTGACACGTGCCCCATAGTTCTGCACTTGTCATATAAATGTGTGTAGAGTAACGGGTAACTTGAGTCGGTGTCAAGGCACTTATACCTTTCTTTATGTAAAGAACTGCAACCTATAAAGACACATTCCTTGGATCGAAAAGAGAGCTTTTGTTTGTTATAAGGGCGAAGATGAGGTCAACAAGCACACCCAAAAATTTTTAATGAGTAATTTGGTGGAGTATGAAGAAGACGCTCTAAGGGGCATTTCTTATTGATGACACTAGTAGGAAGACTATTGATGAGATATGTGGCTGTAAGAAACGCGTCATCCCAAAATTTAATAGGTACATTAGCATGAGCTAGAAGGACGGTGCTTGCATTCAGCAAACCCATTTGTTCATGTGTGTGAGGGCACAAAACGCGATGAGCGTTTCCAATGGAACAAAAAAATATGTTATGAATTTTTTGATATTTTCCACCCCAATCAGACTGGACATACTTGATTTTAGTATCCAAGATGTGCTCAACATGAGCTTGAAAATGCAAAAGTATACGAGGAGCTTCTGTACAATCATGCATCAAATAGATCCACGAAAATTTACTAAAATCATCAATGAAGCTGATATAATATTTAAAGCCCCACAAAAATGGAGGTGTAGGACCCCAAACATTAGAAAAAAATTAGTTCCAAAGGTGACGAAGACCGAACTAGTATATGATAACTAATGACTTTTTGTTAACTGACACGCATTACAAACAAGCAAAGGTGACTCACTAACACACTAAATATTATTGAGATGCAAAATTGACTTCACTACTTGAGATGAAGGATGTTCAAGACGTGCATGTCATTGAGCGTGACTAGTAGATCTGCTCACTAAGGGGAGCTTGAGATCATTGACATCATATGGCTTGATAGGACAGAGACCAAACTCACACCTCCCGTCTAGAAAACTTTTCCTCGACCGTCGATCCATAGTAGAAAAATACCAAGGATGGTATTCAAAGAATATGTCCTTATCACGGGAAAATATATAGATGGAAAGAAGATGTTTGAAAATTTCAGGCATAAGCAAAATATTAGGCAATGCAATAGGATGAGCAGTAGTATTAATTGAAGAATGACCAGTATGCAAAATCTACAAACCTGCTCCATAGCTAACTTGAACTTGTTCACCTCCATGATAGCGTTCACGCACAGCGAGATAATCTGGGTCACTAGTGATATGATCAGTGGCGTCTGTGTTGTTGTACCAATTTGGATCAATCTTGTAGGAGGAAATAGCCGCTAGTGCCGCAGAAGGAGGTTCATCTTGATAGAACTCATCCATCCTATACCAGCATCGAATGGCAGAATGCCCCACTTTGCCGCAGATCTGGTACGAAGGACAAGCAGAAGGGTCACTTCAAATACCAGCAACACAAGAGGGCGCGCCACCTCGAGAATGGCCACGACCACGATCCCCACGCCCACGGTTCTTTTGCTGACCACCACAACCAACATAATTTACGAAGATCGAGGATTTAACTAAAGTTCAGCCGGTTGTTGTAGTTGGCGAGCTTCAAACGTCATTGAATGTGCAAACAGATCATCAAGCGTGAGGGTTTTACTATTAGTAGTTATCGAGGTGATGAAGGGATCATAGTTAGGGCCAATACCAGCAAGGAGATACGCGACCACGTCATCATCCCGCGAGGCACTGCCAGAGGTGGCCAGCTTGTGGCCATCTTAGAAGAATTTGATTATGTCAAAAATAGTTAAAAAAAAAAATCATTTCTTTTAGATAGTTAGAGTATTTTTAGGTATTTAGTTAAAAAAAAAATCATTTCTTTTAGATAGTTAGAGTATTTTTAGGTATTTAGTTAACGACTTTGCAAAATTTGTGTTAGTTTCTATTTTCGGTTATTTGTAAAGCTATCAAAGTTAAGTTGAGTATGGAATAATATCATCACTTGAAACTCTAATTGTTTATGTCTCAGACTTAGTTATTCTTTTGTCAAAACCTAACAATTGATATCAAAGTCACCACTAGGCTTTGTAGAGTAGCAATTTTTTAGTGATCAAATAAAGAGAGTATGAGTGAAGACAAAACTTTAACGAGGATCGCTCACTTCGATGGTCACTAGATCATTGGAGTGAGCTGATGGAAAATTTGCTCAAAGCAAAGGGTCTCTAGAGTGTGGTAGAGATTGGTTTCTCAGAACTAGAGCAAAGAACAATGCTGATTGAGGCACAAAAGGGCTACTTTGATGATGCTAGACTCAAAGATCACCAAGTAAAGCATTACCTCTTCCAGGAAATTGATTGTACTGTCTTTGAACAAATCTTGGATTGTCGCACAACCAAGATTGTTTGGGACCCAATGAAGCGAAAATTTGGTGGAAACAAAAAAGTGAAGAAATCTTTTCTTAATGCATTAAGGAGAGAATTTGAGGTCATAGAGATGAAGAAGAATGAAAGTATCACAGATTATTTTGCAAGAGTGATAATAATCTCCAACAAGATGAGAAGCAATAGAGAAGATACGCCAGACAAGAATATTATAGAAAAAATTTTGCGTACCCTGGCTGAAAAATTTACCTATGTTGTAGTATCCATTGAGGAATCCAAAGATACTGATAACATGTCCATTGATGAATTACAAAGTTCATTAGTGGTGCATGAACAAAAATTTCAAAGATCTAGTATTAATGGAGAGGAGCAAGTTCTAAAAGTCAAAGGTCGAACAGAAATAAGTAAAAAAGGAAGAGGAACTTACAGGGGCAGAGAACGTAGAAGGGAAAGATCAAATATCAACAAAGCAATTGTTGAATGTTATTGGTGTCATGACTTAGGTCATTTTCAATATAAATGTTCAAAGATGATAAGAAATTAAGCAAAGTTGTGATAAGATGATGAAATGTTGTTAATGGCTCATATGGAAAAACATGAAGCAAAAAGGAGTGATGCTTGGTTCTTAGATTCAAACCATGTGTGCAAGTGAGGTATGTTTTCAAGCTTAGACAAGACCTTTTCCCATATTGTCAAGCTTGGAAATAATACAAGTACGAAAGTTACGGGAGAGGGTGCAATGAAATTAACTTTGCATGGGGTTCGTTACACTATTAGTAATTTGTATTGGGTACCTGAACTAAAAAATAATCTCGAACGTTGGACAACTACAAGAAAAAGGAGTAGCCAGCTGTTCAAAGATGGTGTATGCAATATTATCATCCACAAAAATGAAAAATAACAGAGTCAATTATGAGCACAAATCGGCTATTTATATTGCGTACTAAACCATTTGCCACAACAAATGAAGGAAGATACCTCCAAGTTTCAAATACTGATCAGTCAACACTTTAGCACCATCGTTATGGTCATCTCGGCTACAAAGGCTTGTGCACCTTGAAACACAAAAACATGGTGAAAGGCCTGCCGCAAATTGTAGCTCCAAACACGACCTGTGAGGCATATATGAAAGGCAAGCAGCATCGGACTCCATGTCCAAAAATGGGTAAATGGAGAGCAACAGAAAAATTGAGTCTTGTTCATGCAGATCTATGAGGTCCAATTTCACTAGCTTCATGTGGCCAAAAAAGAACTTACTGTGCTTTATAGA